AATTGGGAACCCCTCGACGAGGCCCTAAAGCTACACCAAGGCTAAGCTGGTCGGAGGCTTGACACCGCCGAGGGGCTAGGGTAATATTAGCTTGGAAAGTAACCTAAGTCCAAGTCATTCTAGCCCTCGATCCTCCACAGACCGGGGGCAATTCCAATGGCTAGCCATACACTGGGATCTTAGGCAATTCCAATTCCATAGCTTCAAGCCCCCGGCTATTCTACTCTACATCCGAAGGGTTCTGATCAAGTTTTACTTGGAAAATTTTTTAAGTCCACGACAACAAGCCCCCGGTAATTCCACACTACAACAGGAGGCTCGCTGCCAGGTTTTACTTAGAAAAATTTCTAAGTCCCCAAACATACATTCATTCAAGCAAAGACAAACACAAATCAGACACAGGAGGCATTCATTCAGAAAAAGCCCGAAGGCAAAACATTAATCGCCATAAGAATTCAAAGTACAAAGGTGTTCATTACACTGCGTGGCCGAAGCCGGCGGCTACAAGCCATTACATGGATAAAATTCATAAATTTCTAAGCTTGGGCTCCTCCCGGTGCATCCTCCTTCAGCCTCGAAGCCGCATCATCCTCGGCCGCCTCATCATCAGAATCGCATCGGGCCAGCTCCGAGTCCTCGAGCAGCTCCCTCTCTTCGCCCTCGGGAAGGGGGACCCTCACATCCGGCAGAAGGGGGGGGGGGGAGGCCGTAGCTCTCTGGCTTGAAGTCCTTCAGTTCCACACCGACGTGCCGGGCTAGCCTCCGGTACAGCATAGCTTGCGTGAAATACTGGCCGCCCTCGTAGAAACTTTTCCCTTTGAGGGCAAGCCACATCGCGCCAGGGCCTTTCACCCAGCTCTCCACCGAGGCCTCGACAACCGACGCCCTCCAGTGCTCCTGGCCCTCAGCCTTCCAACCATCGGCAGCGAAGGCGGCCACTGCTTCTTCCTTGGCCTTGGCGACGGCTTCAGCCTTAGTTTTTTCCGCCTCCTCGGCCGCTTCTTTGATCGTGGCAGCGGCGGCCTCCAAACCATCACCCCTCCCCAAGGCTCGGGCGTCGGCCACCTTCTTCTGGATGCTCTCCCTCTCCAACCGGAGGGCATCCTCAGCATCGAGCAGCCTTTGGCGAAGGCTTGCGTTGTCCTCCTCCAGCTTTCTCTGAGCCTCAGCGTCTTGGGCCCTCTGCAAGTCTATTTGCTCCATCCTCTGGAGGAGCTCGCCAAGACCGAGGGCAGCCTTCAAAATTGAGGCGGCAAAGGTTAAGTTGCTGGCATAGAGATACACTAAATCCGAGTAAACCTTACAAGAGAAAACTTACGGTGACAGAAGCTTGCAAGACCTTTGCGCCGAGGGCGTCGGATTTCTGCCGGGACAGCACCGATTTGTCCGTTGGAGGGGTGGCACCTCTCAGGAAGTCCTTCGGGTCCAACGTGCCGTGCATGATGGCACTCCCCTTCTTCACAGAGAAGTTAATATTCTCCGTAGGCCAGGCCACCCTTTCTTGAGCCGGGGCCTCAGAGGATGAGAGCTCCTCTACCACGACGATTGGGGCCTCCTTCTGCTCCACGGTCCCCTTTGGTTTCTTCTTCTCCGGGGGCTTGATTCCCTTCCCGGAGTTCTTCCTTTTCAGCTCCACAGCCTTGGAGCCTTCCCCACCGACGGCTGTTGAGGGCCCCTCACCCTCGGGGTTCTTTTCTGCCTCCGGCTTCTTGAAAAACTCATCAACAGCCTTCTGCGTAGAGGGCCCCTCCTCTTTCTTCTTCCTGCTCTCCTTCGAGAGTTGTTTCTGCAGCTTGGCGAAAGCTTTGGGATCCATAATGTCACCTGCAAAAAATAGGGGAGAGTTAGGTTCGAGACAAATCAAAACCACAAAATGTCTAAGTACTAAGGAGGGGATCCCTCGGCAACAACCTCCGGCGTTTTGATAGCCTCGGGCAATCGGAGGGTACTTCTCATCTTTCTCCCCGTCCAGCCGAAACCGTCGGAAACCTAGCAGATAGAGCTCGTCTGGAAGGGTGGCGGCCTTTATAGTCAATAACTTATCAGAGCCTTCGGGTTTCGCCGTTAGCTTTCTTCCGGCCTTCTCAAGGGCGTAGTTCCCAACCTTCAGATGCCTCCGGAAATGATCGCGCAGTGGCCTCGGAAAGGGGTTTTCCGGCATCCGGATGTAACAAAATCGATCTTTCCACCCTTTGTGGGATGACGGGATTTCAGAAAAAAGCCTCCAGGAGGGAAGTTGTTGCAGGTTGGCGAACCCCTCCGCGTGCGTGTGCCCCCCCCGGCACAAGTTAAATGACAGGAAGAACTGATCCAAAGTCGGCTCCACCTCCCGGGACCGGCAGAGCGAGAGAAAACCAGAGATGTATGAATGGCTGTTGGGTGATAACTGGCAGGGGGCCAACCCCAGGAACTCGAGGTACTCCAGCAAAAAGGAGTGGAGGGGGAACCGGAGGCCCAAATCTACTGAGAGGATGTGCACAGAGAAGCATCCCTCGGGCGGATCAGACAGCAAATCGTCGGGGCCGGGTTCCACCACTTGTGCAGAGGGCCCCACCAGGAATTGGGTGGCTTGGTAGTCGGAAGCCGTCGCCTTCGTCTTCATCGCGAGAGCCGCCGTGTTCAGATATGAATGGCCCTCGGGTATGCCCACTGGCCGCCCCGCATCGATGGCGGCCTGCTTCCTCTTCGGCGCCGCCTTCATCTTCCTCTTCCTCTTTCCCGGAGCAACCCGAAGAGGTTCGGCGTTCAATGGCCGGGAACTGCTCGCTTCTCCAGCGCCGTCGGGATACACGACGGCTACGGTAACCGCCCTACGTTCCTTCTCTTCCTCCTCCTCTGCAACCTGGAGAGCGAGGGGCCATCTCTTCGTCCTCCACTACCTGTTCGAACTCCTCGGCTTCCGCCTCGGTCCGAAGGTGGTCTTGAACTTCTTCAGCTATGGCAGAATCATTTGCTGACGACGCCTGCTCGCTCGAGGATTCTACGTCTGAAAAGCTCTCCTGCTGGACCGAAGCCTCCCTCGATATATCTTGTGAATCATCTCCCGAAGACATTGTGGAGAGGTATAGGTCGGAAGGTTCAGGCCGAAGGCTCCTAGAAACTATAAACACTAAACCTAGAGGGGCACAAGCAAAATGTACCTAAGGAGGAAAGAACAGATGAAGAACTGACCTTGGGGAATAAAGTTGATCAAAAGCAGGGGTTTCTCTCTCTAGAAAAATTGGCAGAGCTTCGCTTCAATAAAATCGCACAACGACAAATGAATCAGACTTGGAGTATTTATAGGCAACTGGGCCTCGGGAGTTGGGCCTCGATTTGAAAAGCCCATCATTACGGGCCGATGGTTCAACCAATGGATGGCTCCCGCCCGCCGTCAGCCAACGGACATGCGCCACGTGGAACCCTCTCCCAACGGCTATATTACAACGACTATATTTCGTCAATACTGGGGGGTGCCCTCGAATGATAGCCTCCGGCTATCACTCACCTCAGCCTTCTGCCAACGAAATTCACCAAGCTTGCGGCTCATCAATGTTACCACCCCTCGGTAGCTCATCGACACGTCATAACTCCTCCAGCCCGAACTCGCCTTCGGCCTAAAGGAGTGGGGGACTGGGACACACCCCTCGGGAATCACACAGAACAAAATTTCCTCAAGCGAAAAATCCACGATTGATGCATATAGCCCCCGAGCAAAACATCAAAGGGAAACCCCTCGGGTACATACTTCAATGTACCCTTCGGCAGCAGCAGTACATCAAAAATTTTCCAAGACACTCACGGAAATAAAGCAGCCCTCATCACAACACATGCAGGCAATACATCTATGCTTCCCTCGGAAAACCCTCGACATGTGAGGGACTGAGGAAAGCCTTCGGCAGTCATACAGGTGTCATACCTCTCAGGAAACCCTCGACATGTGGGGGACTGAGGGAAGCCTTCGGCAATCAGGAGAAGACAGGTTCTCCAGCAAGGCACCCGACGAAATAATGAAGCCCCCAGAAGAATCAGCACAACTACTCCTTTTCCCTCAAGTACCTTTCGGCAAAAGGAGTGAGGGACTCCTGATGGAGTATATGGCCCAGGAACCCCCGGCCCATAGACTCCCACTTCTCCTACACAAGTCCATTGGGCCCAGAGAACAACTCAGGCCCAAATACGGCGGCCCAAGCCTCAACATAGCCCAAAACGCACAATAGGGTGCCTTCGGCTTCCTTGGCCGAAGGCTCCAAAACTCGCAGGATAGCCTTCTCTGGCATAAGAAGCTACTGGGAGAAAACGGCGAAAAACGTGAGCCTTCGGCACTATCAAGCCCTCGGCACCGGAGAAGCCTCCGGGTGGACCAAGCCTTCGGCACTATCACGCCAGGCCTTCGGCCGCACAGGGGTCCTCGATTACATGGAGCCCTCGGCTACGCAAGGAACCTTCGGCCTCGGACGCGCTCAGTCATCAAAGATTCCTTTTAGCGACAGCCAACCACCGCATTTAATGCCACGTCACATCCGCCAACCGCATTCAATGCGGTGGACGTACCACTGCCGGTGCCAACCTGTTGATGTGACCCTTCGGCCGTTGGATTACTGACACGTGTCCTCTCATCGCATTTATTGCTGCTATAAATAGCAGCCCATTTCTCCTTGTAAAACATGATCCACATCCCAACTCCACACGCTGAGTTCATTTAATAAAATCAACTCTCTCTCCTCCTATTTACTCTGACTTCTTTCTAGTTATTCCCGCAATAACCCCTCGGATAAGATACCCCCCGGGTAGACTATCCGTCAGCATGAGTTCTTCCTGCTCTAAATAAGATAATCCAACAAAATTAGACAATATTGTCAAAAATCATTGATTTTTGAATTGTTTGTGCCCTTTAGGACTATAATTGAGCTCCCCTTATCTTTAGCAATCTTCATATAACAACCTGAATTGTTGAGTACCGAAGTAACCGTGATAAGCCCATATTTTCTTATTTGCTCGAGATTAAAGTTATATGAGCACGAAAGTTGTTGAATAAAACTGTAGATCTAGCCCGCGATCACCGTTTTGAAATTAATCCTTTTTAGCGAGGATTTTTCAATTTAAAAAATGAATATTTCATTGTTTGTGGCAGCAAATCTAAATAGTTTTGATTCAATTTTGATGGAGTTAGTTTTTCAAAATCCTTGGAACAATCATATGTAGCGTGAGAACTGAGAAGGAATAGCCGGATCTGGAAAGTCGCTGGTATTAGTCCCCTGGTTGATATTTCGGTTTTCCACATCTTCTGTGGATGGTACAAAGCATACAATTGAGGTGTTGGTTAGAGCAGTGCTAGGCGAGTGAGTGTCCACACCAGACAAGCTTCTAACGTGGTTCATTGGTGCGGGTCCCTGCGATAAGGGAGATGGGATCTCTGCTCTGAAATTGTCCAACCTAGAGACCTGTCCGCCTTGAGGTGATGGGGACGGTCCCTTACCAGAGTTGTTGTTCTTAGTTCGACCTTGACTCTGCGCACGGAAACCGCCGCCATAACCTGCATTTCGGTGAGACAACTTTATCCTTTCTGCTCCCCTGCGCACTGAGCTTAGTCACTGGATATTGAAAATTGGCTGCATCTCCAAGTGCCAAATTGGCCGGCGCTTCACCTCTGGATTCCTCCGGTCTCCGGACCGATTGGAGTTGGAAATGCCAGGCTTCATATTACACAAGTCATCATTTTTTCATCATTTTCATTTACCCCAGTGCCGCAAAGGCTCCCACCTACGGTGGGGTAAGGGGGGTCAGATGTGCGCAGTCTTACCTCTGTACTGAAGCACAGAGAGACTGTTTCCGGATGACCCATAGTGAAAATCGCGTCCAAAATTGCTTGGGCTGACTGCTACTTCATAACAAAGAAGCGCAGACAATTTAGTGAGCCATTTTGCTTTATTCCATCATATTCTCAAGCCAAAAAATAATGAATCTTTGGCTTCATATTACACAAGTCATCCCACAAAATATAAAATATAGTATTCGATGTGAAAATAATAGTTACCCGTATAAGACAAACAAGTTACCGAAAATGCAAAGAATTACACCAGTATAAGACATTCACATTTCAAGTGTGTTAACAACTTTTGCTGACATGATTAACAATTTCACACATAAGGAATTATTAAATGTCACAAAATTGGTTATTTTTCTAAACTTACAGATAACATGATTCGTAATTGTGCAACTTCAATGCAGTTAGCGATTACCACATGAACTGACGAAGCACACCTGCTCTAAGCACGCAATTTCTAACTGAAAGGCCATTCGGGATAAGGCATCTCCCAAATTTTCATCACCACTAGCACTTACTGACTTACTAGGAGGGCATTTTTCCTGGACTTCTACCAAGCAGTAGAAAAGTCTCTACTTTCTACCAATGGCATCGAACACCACCTTCACTGGGCCAAAACAAAGATTGCAGAACATCAAACAGAAGCTCATTGATGAGAGCAGAGAATTAAACAATCAACGGTAGCAAGTAGCAACCGTTGCCCAAGCTTAAAGCTTAAAGCCCGTCCCCGCCTACGGTAGACCAACAAAGACCTGGGGCTCGGATCCGCTTCCTCCCCCCCCTCCCCCCTCTCTATCACTCATCCAAGGTACTCTCTTGAAGAGACGGCCTTCTATTACCAGCTAGGCAGCAAGTTCTTACAAGTTAACAAAATGTTCTTTCAAAACCAAACCTTGACCAATTCAAGGGATCCAGCACATGCTTTGCTTACAGCTCCACTCAATGGAACAGAGTTCTTGGCACAGAGCACCACCTCTATCTCCAAAGCAGGTCACACTAATTGGAGGCCAGTGATCTTGTCCAAAGCCGAAAGGGAACTCCTCTTCTCCATACCCCCATCCCAGAATGAAAAACTATTGAATACAACCCATTTCCAAGTCAAATGCACCTAGGACAAGACCTTGATATCAACTGTTATAGCTTATAAGCAACCATGTTGAGTTAATGTTTAAAAGCAAATGGTTTATTCTTTATCCAACTTTTGTGCCATCATCACAACTTTTCTGACATGCTTCATTCCTTCCATTTTCTATTGCTTCAGTAAAATTCCAACTCTCCCGGAAAATACACCACTATTGTTCCACTATCTCTTTCCTCACATGCTCTTCCCATGAAAACTATTATCTTACCATATAGAGCAATCCAAGAACAACACATAGAATATACCTAGGAAAGAAAGAGAAAGTTAAAGAAAGAGAAAGTTATTGCACTTGGCATTTCTGAAGGTGTGCATATAAAAATATGGCACTTTGAATCGCATATGAGAGAAATATAATGATGATAATTGCTATGATGCACAATGACATGTTACAAAATGTTAGCACTGGATGGGCCAATTTTGCTAGTATTTGTACCAGGCCAGTGAGTCAGCCTATTATCCAAATTAGGCCAAAAGAGATAACATATTTAATGGGGCTACAGAGCTTCAAGAAGACAGCAGCCCATCAGTGTCCACCTAAAAAATGCAACACGCTTAACAAAGATCTGTGGGTTTTCTCGTTCATGAAACTATCCCTCTTTTTGAATTCTTCAAGAAGGTCAAATGCATCATCCCCTTTCCCATCCCTACACATCTCTTCCAGCACAGTTTTATAAGTCAGTAAATCGGGAGACATTGAATTATTCAGCATATCAAAGGCCACATCAATAGCATCCTCAAACCTCCTCTCCAATGCTAAACTACATATTAAAATCATATAAGTACTCCCCTTAGGAATGAAATCTTTGTCCCTCATGTCTTTATAGAACCTGAGTCCTGCATCCACTTTCCCCTTCTCACAAAATGCTTTGGCTAAATAACTGTATGTGTATGCATTCGGTTCACATCCATATAATCCCATTTCACGAAATACCCGAATTGCTTCATCGACCTCGAGACATTTTGAATAAGCCTTTATAATCATATTCATAACATAAGTATCAGGAATCACACCACAGGCCTTCATTTGAGTAGCTAGTGATCTCACGGAATGTAAATACACATAGGAAACCGTTAACCTATTAAATTTAGGGAGAAGCGTATTCAGCAATAGCGTGTAAGTTTCCAGAGAAGGCTTAGCATCTTCACATTTCAACATTTTCTTGTAGATATCAAATGCTCTATTGAACAAGGATTTACGCCCGCAGCAGAATTTAATCATGCAGTTGTACAAAGGGAGGCTGGGCGCGCAAGCCCCAGCAATGACCTCCTCCATTAGGGTTTCTGCAACCCCATAACGCTTACCATGGATGGCGATTTGGATGATACGGAGGTAAGTCAAGGGGTTATGCTTGTAACCTCGCTGCTGGCCTGTCCAACGGAAAATATCGAGCGCCAGGTCCGGGTCGGATTGGGCCTGCAAGGCTACATCGACGTCCGACGGAGTAAACCCAGGACGGAGTTTGTTTATCCATGAATCGAATTGCTTTTCTGACGGGGTTAGAGTCCGAGGGTTAGGGTTTTGCAGGTCTTTAGAGGGTTGTGAGAGGGTCGGCGCTGTAGTGTAGTGATGAGAAGTTGAAGGTGCGGAAATCGTTCTGAGAAGAAGATGATAGGTCAGGGATGGCCGAAATCTAGAGATTAACGGATGGCTCGCAACTGCTCGCATTTCTACAGGAAACGGGTATTGGGTTTAAAGTTTTCTTCTTTATGAGGAAGATGGAATACCCGATACTGAAAAGTTTAGATAAAATTACTTAATCTGGAGACTAATTTGCCCTTTACCGTTTTCATTTTTTACTAAAGTTTAATACTCCAATAAACTTTAGTTTGGTGTAATTTCTCGTACTATATGTAATTTCTCCTTAATAATGGAAGCTTCACTTAATCGCAAAGGTCAACTGTTGGTCCCGTTTGAGTTGGTAATCAGTCTAGAGGGGGGTGAATAGACTGATTCAAGTTTTTCAACTTTTCTCTAAGTCAGAGTTGACTTGTCAGAGATGGTCAAGTTCTGATGATCAGAACTGGTCTTTTGCAGCGGATAAGAGTTCCGGGTAGCCTCAAACAAATACTAAGGCAAGTGCCTTTCTGATAACTCTGAAAACAAGATCTGCTGAACACAGATTCCAAGTCTTAGAGTTAAACAGTTAAAATCCTAAGTGCAGAAAGTAAATGCAGTAAAGTAAATGACACCGGAGTTTTTATAGTGGTTCAAGGAACAACACGTTCCTCTAGTCCACTGTTCCACTAAGCTTGTAAGGATCAATTACAACGCTTTAGTCCCTAGCACTTAAGAAGTTCTCCACGCCTTCTTCAAGCATAGTTGTCACCCGGGATGCAGTCCTGCTTCCTGATGACTGATCCTTTCACTCAGCTTCCCGGAAGTATCACCACTTCACTGCTGCAGTTACTTGGACGCCCTTCTTTGCAGAAGATGTTTTGAAAACAGAGTTTTCTCCAACTAGCTTCGTTACAAAAGATATGTAGTTGAAGTTCTTGAAGTGTTGAAGAACAGGATGAACTTTGATGTGTGTTGGGTTTGAAGGATGAGAATCTGAGTCTTCCCAACGTAAGCTAGTCTTGTTGATGAATGTGGAGTTTGAATCTCAAGAGAGCTTGAAGTATGATGAGCAAAAGTTCTTGCAAAAGTTCTGCCAAGAGAGTTGTTGTCCTGTTCTTCGGTTTGTAGCTTATATACTGGGGTTGTCTGCCCGTTGGAGGAGGAGACAACTGCATTGAATGCGCGTACTGTTGACTTGACCCACTGATTTGGAAGCTTTCTATTTTTATAATATATCTTCCAGATTTCTCGGTCAATCATTTGCAATCAATCCAAACCGTATCAGGCTCATTTAATGAGCATTAAATGCTTTCCTTGGACGGAATATCTTCTAGCCGTTGATGAATTTCCCAGCCGTTGAAGGTAGCTTGAAATTCTTCTAAGTGTTAGTCGGACTCTGATACGTTGGATTCTGATGACTTTCTGATGAGTAGCTCTGATGTAGTTTCAAGTCGAACTCTGGTGTGGGAACTCTGATGCTTGTCGGATGTTGAGTTCTGATGAAGCTATACACCGAACTCTGATGCTTCTCTGATGAGCAACTCTCATGAACTGCTGAGAGCAACTCTGATCAGATCCACAAGCGAGCAACTCTGATTGTTGACTATACTAATACTTACAACAAAAAGTACTAATACATAAAATCTAATTGGGGGTACTCTAAAATTCTAATCTAAATAACCTAGCATCATCAAAATCTAATTACATTTATTCCTTACATCAACGTTTGAAAAGAATTTAATCAATTTCAATATCATTCTACGCTCAATAGTTTGGTGTCATGTTGCAAAGAATTGTTTTTTTATTTATAAAATGTCACATTTTTTCATTTTTCCTCCAATCTTTTTAAAAAATATACCAAATTAAATAATTTGAAAAATGAGAATATTACCCGAAATATGAGTAAAAAAGTTTTCAAATTCCAAAACTTTGTTTAAAAAATTACTTCTATGGGACGAAGTTCACGTCTTCTTCCTTAAAACTTTGTCATTTTTTATTTTTTTGGTCAATCAAGTTTAACTTTGACCAATATATATTTTGTAGGAAGTTATTTATAATATATAAATGATATGAAAACTTTCTTTGTTAAAATCACTTTCATAAAAGAATAAATTTTATAACTTCCCAAATATTATACTAATAAAAATCATGGTCTAAACTTTATCAACGTTGACTTACTACTCCGTATTAACTTATGTCAAAGATGACAAAGTTTTAAGGAACGGAAGTAGTACCTTTTTTTGTCCCGAATTGATAGTAAAGTTAAACCCTCTCTCGGGATAGTTGAATCACTTTTAATAGATAAATTACACACTGCATTAAAAATTATATAGAATAGCAAAATTGAAATTAAAATATGATTATTAGCTTATTTTATCCCAAACTATTATCAAATTCACAAATCTATCATATTCTTTTATTTTTATAAAAAAAAATCAAACTTCGTGTTTTTCAACAATTATGCTTTTCTTTTTTCTATTTTTAGAATTACACATTTTTACCAATGCCAATTAGGTATAAGCAATACAAATTTGTAAACTTGAAATTAGAAACAAGTAAAAAAAATATAAAATATGAATATGTTTTTTTCTTGATTTTACTAATTCATTTATTGAAAGTGTAATTGTGAGAAAAGTTGAAGTTTGAGTCCTTTTTAAATAAAAGTGAATGTATGAGATAGATATGTGAAATTGATGATAATTGAAGATATATTTAGCTCATAATCCAATAATAATTTTTATATGATAATAAGTAAATAAAATGAAACTTAGTTGATAGAAGAAAGGTAGGAATAATGCAAATACAACATTTTTAGGGTGCTCTGCAACTCGCAGAGGACATAATTGTCCCATTCATGTGAAAATTGGGTGCGGATAGCATATTTTAGGGTGCGTCGAGCATGGCCGTACTGAAAAATGTATATTTAGCATGTTTTTATTTGGACTGTAATTTGTCCCAGATCAGACCAGACTTGGATAGTTATAAAAATACTAAGAAACCGGACCAGACCAGACCAGCAAATTACAGTCCAAGTAAAAACATCCTTTACTCCATCCATTCTCTAATTGTCTGGGATAGAGATATTGTCCAGGTTTTATTTTAAAAATGATCGGTCCGGGTTAAAATACCTGACTTGAACCCGAAAACTTGGGTTATAATACGGGTTCTAAAATTTTAAACCCGGACCGAAAAAACCCGATTAAATTAAGAAACTAAAAAATGTATAATTTATATAAAATATGTATGATCTATTAATGCATCATACTGATTTTTTCTCTACAAGACTACAACCTTATAAGTGTGAATATTGTCAAGGGTATAATAGCCATAAAAAATGTGTTGGCGTCTCTTATTGCACAAAGTCATTTTACATCATGTAAAGATTCTTGTACCTGTTAAACATAGAGTATGTTTGGCACAACTAGCCGAAAAGATACTTTTGAAGGCTTTTTAGTAACTGTTAGCTTTTAGTGACTGAAAAGATCTTATAAGGAGAAGGTGGTAGCTGTTTGGTAAAAAGCTGACTGTTTGATTTAGTTCTGTTTGGTATAAAAGCTATTAGGATGAATTAATATTAAAAGTCACGGACTTTTCTCAGATGCTACCCCCTGTAGCATCTCAAAAAAGATCTTTTAATTTTTGAAAAGCTCTTAAAAATTGTCATGCCAAAATATACAACTAGAAGCTTTTAGAGACTTTTTAAATAGTACAAAAGCTAGAAGGCAGAGACTTATGTCTGCCAAACATGCTCGTAATAGCTCCAGCTTTAACGTTAGGGTGTTACGGTGTTGTTCATCGTTAGTGCACCATTACCATTGAATATCCCCACGCCCATTATTTACTAAGCGTTTCCTCTCCCTCCTGCTCATTAGTCAATTAGTCATTACCACTTCAATCACTCTAGATAATCACTCTACATAATTGCAATACTTTATGGAGGAGGCATTTTCCCACCCAACATTTCTATCGCTCGATCTACTACATCAGATCTACGGCTCAAGTCAATTCACCGATTCCTTCCTCCGCACCTTTCATTTATCAGATCTCCGCTTCTCATCCCTCTATTCCCTCTATCAGAAATATCCAACTTGAATCTTCTTTCTCCGTTTGGATTTCAATCACCTAAAAATGTCACTCGCCTTCTCTGTTGAGTTCATTTAGTCGCCTCCATTAGAGTTCAATTTACGATAGATTCATCGTTCTCTCTGATTAGTAATCTTACTTCGCACTCAACCTATCTTGAAACTACCGAATCTCAGATGCCTTCGTCGGAGCTATGACTCCATACATTTTTCCCTTCCCTGTGAAACAAAACTGCGATTCCAAACAAATTTGATTTTTCTTCGAATATTATGAAATAGACAAGGCAATTTGTCTTTTTCCTTTCTCTTCTCAATTTCAAGATGTAGAAGTACAATCGTTGGTTGCTAGGTTCGGTGTTGCGAAAGGGACGATGGACAGACTTAATTTAGGACTCAACTAAATTCCCATAGTCAGCTTCATCGAGATAATTGATTCAATTTTATTTTATTGGTATACATTTACTGAGGAGTGTTAAAATTTAGTATTTTATTGGTCTCACTTATTTTATTTTTTTTCATGTGTTTGTTCACTATCTCACATTTTTTATTTCTTAACATTCCTGGTATTTCTCTATGCATAACTTACTAGCTTTCTTATCATTTTGATGTTGTACTCTGTATTCAAGTAAATAAATGACTAAATGGAATCTGAAATCTTCCATTTGCCTATTGTACTTGGTTAGTTAAACTTTTTGCACTGTTACATCTTTGCCATTGCATTCGGAGGGGAGCGGATGAAAAAATTCTAGCTTCTTCATTTTGTCAAAGCAGAAAAATAAATAAAAGTGACTATTTATAATCTGAAAATCTGAAATTATATCTGCATGTATATAAAAATCTAGCTTCTTCATTTTGTATAAAAGTCGTTTTTAGAATGAACCAGGCAAATTGACAGACTTATATTTAAGTTGATTTTCTGCAATAGACTCCTGTTTAAACTCCGGTTTTGGAGCTAAGAAAATGTTCTTCCTTTTGAATAGATACTCTTTAAGCACTAATATTTACTTTTTTTTATCTCAAGGTGACAAACCGTTAGTGAAACGCCTTGGGTGTTGGCCACTGTTGGGTGCTGCCTTATCAATGCCATGAT